AACCAAAAAGTGTAACGTGAATACTGTGTGTGATATTTAAAAAAAAATGGGTAGCTATGTTATGAATTCCAATAGGGTACATTTACTGTTATCTCAACGCTATATTTCTGCATTTTACAGGACAAAAACTCATTCATGTTTAATAGATACATTCTGCAATCATTAACCGTGTAGTGAAACACTTTATCCAAATGACCAGTATTGTATGGTTGTTCAAAGTCAGGGATGCATAAGAAATTAGATAAAAGAATAATGTAATAATCTTTAGATTACAAGGGAAAGGGAGATAACTTAGAATCAAAAGCCTCAGGCTTATTAATTGATGATTCAAGGTAGTTATTACGTTAATAAAGATTTAAAAAAATACCTTTGGATATTTGTAAAGTTAAATTAGAGATTGAAACAGGCTGGATTTTCTTTGTAAAATGGCCTCCCTCGAGATTAAGGGTTAAGGAAAGAAGACAAGGAGTGACCTTCACATGATTAAATCTCAATAAAGTAATTAGAGAGACCATAACCCCAGATGCCTAAAACACCTGTAGCAGAAAAAACGCAGCACGCTCCAAATCAATGTGATGAATTGTAATTCACAGTGATTGGAATTCTAGCATTAAATAACCACAAAAAGGGAAAAACAATTGCTACTATTAAGATGTAAAAGAACACTTGTATATTAAACAGACAGTGATAAATGTGGTTACACTGAGATCAAGGGACCAAGATAAAAAAATACATAAATCCCAAATATCTAGAATATGTCTGAAAGAAAACTGTCTCCCAAGTACTTCAACACAGTTTCCAAACAAGAGAGTCCTCCATATAATACCCCATAGATGGAGCAACTGGCATTCCATTTGTTTAATATAACCTCAGGTGTTACCGTTTTCCACCGTTACTTAGCTTACTTTTGGAGGATGTTCGTAATATAAGCTCTACCTCAAAAATAAGCTCTAGTTGCTTGTCGCAAGTTTGCAAATCTATATTTGGGGAAGTTTCCCCGAACATAGATTTGAGGGATTCCCTGCACTAGTAAGCTAATCTACTTTCTGGGAAATCTTACCTAACATAGATGGACGGGATTCCATGTGCTAGTGAATTCCCCCGAACATAGACCTGATTTCTAGCACATCTGTGCTATGTTTTTTTCCCCCAAAATAAAACATACCTGAAAATAAGCCCTCATTTTTCGAGGGAAAAATTAATATAAGGCCCGGTTCAATGCATCTGGGAGCGATTGCACGTAAGTTAATAACCCACTCATAAAGTGTAATAATAGTTTCAATTGCATGTGTGTGCATGCTCATAGAGTCCCCCATAGACTGGCTAACTGGTACCTCTGAAATTGCACACACTGTATGAAGATTTCTACAAGGCAATAGGTTACACCGACAGTGAGTGTGTTACAGATCCACTAGTTGCATTTAGGATATAAAGACTAATGTGAAAGTAAGCAATTCATCAGTTAGGGTTTGCAATACATTTAGAGTTAGAAGCATGTTTGATGTTAAGCAAGGATTGTTACTAAACTTGGCTTTTAATGTTTACAAAGTGCTGTGTTCAAAAAGTGGTCTAAAGTACTAAAAATTTTGCAGTCACCATGGAAACCCAACTGTGGAACTCAACAGGCACATTGCATTGGTGACTCCTCAACGTTTCCATGCTTGCACCACATGAGTGTCTTAAATATGACGTGAAAGAACTAGCGATGTGAATTACTAATCCCTTTCTATACAATTAAGGAAAATAGAAGATCACATGAATAAAAAAGGCTGATGGCAGAGTTGTTTTTATTTCATTCAACATTGTATAATTAATGCAAGTTAATATTTTATTCAGCTTCAAAATTTTATTCAATGGCATTATTTCCAGCGAAGTGAGGGTCCCCCTTTAATGCAAGTAATTATATTAATTATTGTATGAGGAGTCCCTTTTTGTTAGTGTTTATTCATGTTGGCTCCAACTGCACTGATACTCTCATTCTGATTTTCAAATTGAACAGACATAGTGTAATGGTTTGGGGAGAATTTGAAAAGAAAGGACAAAGCTTAACGGAATGACTCTTAAAAATAAGTCGCTGTGAGTTGGGAAGACCAGGGACAAGGCCATGCAGCTCAAGGCCAGGACCAGGAAGCAAAAGGAATGTCTTTTAACAGCATCGTCCAACCAGGACCAGCACACAGATGATCTTCATTAGGTTAACCAAGACAGGATCAGACAGGCAAGGATTAATTTGGGCATAATCACGCAGACAAAAGGTTAACCAAGGCAAGTTAGGGTTGATTCAGGTATCCAGGTAGAGGAGACATGTAACCTCTTGGAGCTCACAAGACAACTAAGCAAAGAACCCAGTGTGATCTGGTGATCTGGTGGTTTTGGTTTCAATAGTGGAGTAAATTGAGTAAATAGGGTAGAGTAAATGGATACCTAGCAAGTTTTAAGAAGTATGTAGGGGTTTAGAAAAATACCCCTCTCTGTCTCATTAGAGATATTTTTTTGCCTGAAACTGAAGGAAGCAAGGTGAATTGTTAGTGTAGGACCCACCTAAGAGATTTGCCTTTAAGTGGCAGGTGGGCTTACACCTAATGGCCATTGGAGTGAGCAAAAAAAACTCTATTTAAATATGCATAGGGATTTGGGTTAGTGCGCAGGTAACTCTTTTCTTTGTTTGAGGCCTATTTAAGTTGATGGCCCCCTTTGGGTGAGCAGGTCTTTGTATCCCCTTGTGGGAGGTATGCATTGTTGGCTTGTCCATTCATCCAGTTGTTGCTCACACTGCTCCCAGATATGCTAGGATGTACCCCCATGGTTCTGACACCCTGACAGAATCCTGGAGCAGCGTGGGGAACATACCACAAGTATTGCATCGGATGCCTGCTGGAGGAGAGGTGGGCATAAGGGAAGACCAGGGGTGACTCCCTTCTCCTGCACTCTGCAACCCATGTGAAACAACCGTAGGGGCCAGTGGTTGAGGAATGAGTGAAGAAACACTAAAGAACAGTGGACCTCACCTGCAGCCGGGAAGAGGGCTCAGTGAGTGAGTATGCCGCAATTGTCTCTCCTAGCATGTCGTGGCACGTAGCCACAACCTGTGTTTTAACATGAACTATATTGCATAGCATTAGTATGTAAATGTGTATTTCTTTTAAATAAAACTTGTGATAGCTTCTTTGAATTAATAAACTGTTTTTTCCACTTTTTGTTGAATTTCTAGACCACAGCTGATTTTTATCAGCCTTTATTTTATCTCAGGTATGATTCGCTGCTATTTAAACCTGAAACTACTTAGGTCACTAGAACTTCCCCCATTTCTCACATGTTGGTGTGGCAGCTGTAATTTTGTACTGAACACCGAAATACGATTCTAAAAGGAGAGTAAAATACTGTTCAGTTAATCTTTCAAGGAACTTTGTTCTGCAGAGTGAGAAATTCCGTATCTGGAGGCTTCCGTGGAAAGATTAACTATAATTCTCATAAAGGTAACTCAATTTTATTATCACAATTCTATTAATATCTGACATATCTTTAAATGTTTGGTTTTTTTTGCAGCTGTATATTTAAGAGACTTTGATGGACGCCCCACTTCCTTTTAAGTAGCATGCACCCTTTTTAATCTATATTGTCTTGAGAAAACTAATGTTTTTTGTGTTTTTGTTCTGCTAATTTTCCTGTTAATGTATAGTGCCTTGAGAAAACCTTCATCTCTCTCCTCTCTACAAGAAGTTTATTTCTGGGCCCCAAAGCTTTGTCAGCGTAAAAAGAATAACATCACAAGAATCTTTGATTTATTCTACTTCTCATGTAGGACCCAGCTTGTTATTTGACCTTTGCTTTCCAGGTTCCCCTAAATTCTGACATCAGTTAATGTTATCAGACTGGACCAGTTTAAAGGATTACTCTTTCTCTCATCTATCCTTCGATCTCAGACTGATTTACTGTATGCTATTCAAACTGTTAATTGGAATGTGTCTTTAAGATTCCCTTCTCTTTAACTACTTAAATTAATATTGCCAAACTGGATTGTTTAAGGATTTGAAACCAATCTCCCAAACACTTAACAGTTAACTGTTGGAGACCTGAATTGCTTCATAGACTTTGTTTAAATATTTTCCTTTTGTTTTATCAATAAATCAGGACAATTTGCTTTACATTTATTTATTATTTATTTACTCTGAGGCAGGTCCAGACTGGCCATCAGGCAAACCGGGCAAATGCCCAGTGGGCTGCGATGGCCATGGACCGAGGCTGACAGGGGAGATCAAGGGATTCCCCGTCCGGCCCCTTTAGGACTGATGCTGCCTGGCCTCCGGCCCATAGAGGAAGCTCTGTGCAGTGGGGACATCAAAGGTCTCTCTCACCAGCCTGCACACTGATGCACAGCGCAGGCTCTGTGCACATGGTCTACACCTGTCAAGGGGTGTAGACCAGAAGCTTTTTCCACTGGACCACAGGGAAAATAATTTCTCCCAGTATCCTCTCCTGCCAAGGATCAAGGTAAGGAAACCCATGGATGAGGGAGTATGTGTTGCTGTTTTTTGCCCCATGTCCCCTTCCTCATCCAGCAGCCCCTGCCCTCCCTACACCCTGCAGCCTCTGTCTTCTCCTTTTCACCCTTCTTCAGCCCCTGTCCCTCTCACCCTGTATCTCTGCCCCTCTACTCCTGCAGCCCCTGTCCCCCTCTTACCCTGCAGCCCCTGTCCCCCTTGTACCCTGCAGCCCCTGCCCCCTTTTTGCCCTGCAGCCCCTGCCCCCTCTTACCCTTCAGCCCCTGCCTCTCTCATATGCTGCTGCCCCGGTCTCCCCCTCTCACCCAGCCCTACCTCAACCAGCATCCCCTGTCTTCCCCTCTCACCCAGCATTCCCTGTCTCCCCCTCTCATACTCTGCCTCCCCTGTCTCCCCCTCCCACCCAGCAGCGCCTGTCCCCCCACCCAGCACCCTGTTATCCCCTTTAAGCTTGCAACCCCATGACCCCACTCATACCCTGTCTCCCCCTCGCATACCCTGCATCCTCTATTTCCCCCTCTAACCCAGAAGCTACTGTCGCACCACCCAGGACTCCCAGCACTGTCCCACCACCTCTCACCCAGCAGCCTCTGCCCCTCTCACCTTGCAGACCCTGACCCCCTCTCACCCTGCAGCCCCATGTCCCCATACACTGCAACCCCTGTCTCCCCCTCTCACCCAGCAGTCCCATGTCCCCTCTCACACCCTGCCCTTCCTCTCACCCAGCAGCCTCTGCCCCTCTCACCTTGCAGACCCTGCCCCCCTCTCACCCTGCAGCCCCATGTCCCCATACACTGCAACCCCTGTCTCCCCCTCTCACCCAGCAGTCCCATGTCCCCTCTCACACCCTGCCCTTCCTCTCATCCAGCAGCCTCTCTCATATGCTCTATCCCCTGTCTCAGCTTCTCACCCAGCAGCCCGTGCCCCCCCAACCTGCAGCCACTGTCCCGACCTCTTGCCCAACAGCCACTGTCCCCATCTCTCACCTAGCAGTCACTGTCCCAATCTCTCACCCAGCAGCCACTGCCCCCCTCAACAAGCAGCACCTGCCCCCTCTCACACAGCAGCCCCAAGTCCCCTCTCACACCTGGCAGCCCCTTTCTCCCTCACACCCAGAAGCCCCATGACACATCTCTCACCCTGCAGCCCCATGTCCCCTTCCCACACCCTGCAGTCCCATGTCCCTTCTCAACACCCTGGAGCCCCATGTCCCTTCTCAACACCTTGCAGCTCCATGTCCCTTCACAACACACTGAAGCCCCATGTTCCTTCTCAACACACTGCAGCCCTAAGTAGCTATTAAAAAAGACTGGACTTACCCCATCTGTAATACCTTGGGTTGTCTTCTTTTGCAAATGGTATGCCATAATCGAGGCGCCCTTTGAGTGTAACAAAACTGCACTTTCACTGACGATGTCATCGTTGTGATGAATTCTACTGTTTTGAAACACTAAAATTTGTGTTCAGTGTGTTACAGGGTTAAATATAGGGTATGCAAATGAAATTCTCAGGACTTTCTGCCTGGGTTGTCAAGCAGGTCCCACAAATTGTAATGAATAAAGTTACTTCATTATATAAAAATATATGTGTGTTTGTGTATGTATATGTATGTATATTAATATTAAAATACACTTTTAATAATGGTGCGTGTATGTATGTGCATATATATGTATGTACTTTTTATTTAATTTATCAACTGTTTTAAAACTTTATTAAGGCAGGCAGAGCTGCAGTCAGCCACTCCGGCCATGTGATCACATGGCCGGGAGGGCCAAATCTGCCAGAGTGGGGCTGACTGGGACCTGCCAGGATTGTGACCCCATGTGAGGGATCTGCGGGGACCCGGTAAGTACAAAGGACGGAAAGGACGTTGCATGCCACCCTGCAGTGCTTAGGACCGCCCCATAAAGACAGCATAGAATGCCAGCCGTCCTTGAGGGGTTAATTGTATTTTTTGATTAATATTTATAAACAAAAGGGTAAAAGGAAAACATAACATTCATAACTTTTACAACTACTATGTTTTCCTTTAACCCTGTCTATACTCGCCATTCCAGGTTACTTACCATTGCCATTTGTTGATCTCCTCACACGGTCTGCATCCATTATGGAGATCATGCCTCTAGTAGCATCCCCCATTGATTGTGCTCCTGTAGACTATTTGATTACTTTATATTAAACTGTGAATATCCATTAAAAATATTCAAAATGTTTTACAAACCAGGTTTATAATCAAATGGAAAATACACTGCGACTCTTCCTTTTTGTCATTAAAGTTATTCCTACTTTATCATTATAGACTTTATGAAACTGTTTAAAAAAAACAAAACATAGTTGCTAGATAATGAGCATTGGTTTGGTTGATCTACATCTTTGCTATTCGGATGTTAAAAGTAATACCTCAAGCAGGATAACTTCTGGTACCACCCATGTTAAGTTGTAGAAAAGTATTTCTAATTTGATTTTTACATTTTTATTAGACTTGTGTTTTTTTTGTTTTTTTTTATTCTAGAAATGGGTAATGAAAACTCTCATATTGCCAATGCTTGTAACGCTGAGATCATGATCTACTTTGAATCAAAGAAGTTACACATCACAGAGATAGCATTTGAAGTCACTACGGACACAGGTGTAAAAGCTTCAGAAAAGGAGGTTGAAGCGCATAATAACTTAGCTACTAAGTTCAACGTGAACCTAAAGCCAGATTCTAGGATCCAGTACATAAGATGTCCTTCAAGAGAATACATCAAGATTCCTCTGCAGGGAACGATCTATGTGACAGTCATTGCAAAACGTGGAGATAAGAATGAGCTGATGTGCATGAACTTCATGGTTCCAAGTGATCGATCAATCATTGTCATTGATAATGGAATGGTCAAGTTTGCCAAGTATGGCTCTCTGTGGAAGGATGAGGATGAAAGATATTACTAAGGTATGTATGTGGAGAGTTAAGAACTCAGGACTAATTATTGAAACTAGTGATATAATACAGAATGCTAGGCCCATCTACAAACCATTAACACGATACCCAACCGTTGGTAATTGTCATAAAGTACAAGTGAAAGAATGTTCCATTTGCTTGATAATGCATTATGCAATACAATGTATCTATAACTGTAATGGGTCATATAATGGGCACTTATAGAGATAATGGTAATAAAGGCTCTGGCTCCAAGCACCAGAAAGTGTAGGGAGGAAAAGTGTGCAAAAGCATGTAAGTGTACAGAAGGAGGAGGAAAGAAGTATGGCTGGTTGATTCCAAAATTAAGACTTGCCTGATTTTGCCACTGCTTCTTTACCTGTGCTAAAAGAGTCTACCTCCTAGATTCGCAAAGTTGTTTTTTTTTTAGGTGCTCAGTAGACTTGTGCAAGGAAGAAGCTATTTTTTGGGCCAATCCACATCTTCCGTGTGGCAGTTCAGGTCTTCAGAATTTTTTTTGTCCACAAAAAGTATTCAGAAAAAAACAAATCGGATGTACTAAATGGGGTGTAAAAATGGGTCAATCAATGTACTGTAAAAAATATACATAATGCATTTTCAGACATTTAATTCACAGAACAATTAAGAAAGTAACAAATAGAAGTACAAAAGTGTATTTTTATATTTATATATTAGATATGAAAATATACATTTAAAAATACAAAAATAAATTCAACATTTGGTTGCTGTTCCATAGACATCAATCTGCTTTTTTTCCCTTTAATTATTTATTTTCTTGGTGTCACATGCAGAACTTTGAATCCAATGAAAACAAACATGTTTGTCAATTGCATGTGTCCTTTGTTCAGTTGTACATCCTTATGTCAATTTAGAAGTCTGGAATTTGGACGTTCACCCTATCAGCCAAGATTCAAACATATTGCAGTTAGAAAAAAAATGAATCTCCAAGTTTATACTAATACTCTGTAAAAGATCCTACGTAATATATAGTGCAGTGAGTGCTAAGAATGGTGGACTCTCCCAGTGTTCTCTGCATTATAGCAATGTGTGAGAAAGCTGCCTAGGAGGTCTGCCAATAAACGTTGATACATGCACCATTATGTTTGTTTCAACCACAGAGACTGTTGGTATTCAAACACTGTCTGATCCAAGGTGCACATATATGGCCGAATGATGAATGAGTTTGTCTCTTTTTTTACATATACTTCATTTAAAATATCCTATCAAAACTTGATACAAGCATTATTATATTAAAAATAGTTTTAAAGTGAAAGTTGTACTTTAAGATCATAGGGAACCTTGTAAAATTAAAAACATTCTAGATTTTGCTTACTCTGCTATTCTGTCAGTTGTACCTCTCTTGCTGAGACTTTAACAAGTACTTCCCCTTTCTAAGATTAGAGCATTCCTTCACAATCGACTTTTTTATGATTATACTGCTGCTCTCATTAAGAATGTTCAACCTTACTTGCTGCTGACTTACTGCTGTTTGGTGATACCAAATCAAACTTTGTAAAGTTACACTCTTCATTAATACCAACCAAGTTTGAAGTATTGGCATAGAAACATAAATACATTTTCTCCTACATATCATTGGTATGACCAACAGACATATACGAAATTTATTAGATGCCATGATTATGAGTTTTTCTATGGGACCTACATGGATGAAGGTTCTCAAAAATACCACCTGAATGTAGAAAACAGACATAATTTACAGTAAACTTTATATTAAAGCTTATATATTTTTATTTATTCTGTAACCTCTTTGGCACATAAAGCACTTCCTAATGCTGTCTTTAAAGTCTATGAATGGCAGGGTTAACGAGTATGTTGATGCCATTTCTTTTTTTTTTTCCAGAAGAATTTGAGAAGAGTTCACACTATCCATTCATTGTCTGAAATGACCAGGTTTCTTCAGTGTCAAAGGAGTTCTTTCAAAATGAAAATCTAAACTTTATCTTCAAATAAAATCAATGTGAAATTCTTGAGAATGGAGGGTGAGGGGAGACTGATCTACTACTGGCTAAAGCAGGCTTCCCTAAACTCTGGCCCTCCAGATGTTGCTGAACCACAACTCCCATGATTCTCAGACTATCTAATTCATAGAATCATGGTAGTTGCAGTTCAGCAACACATGGAGGGCCCGAGTTTGAGGAAGCCTGGACTAAAGGGAAAGGAGTGTGGAAATGGATTACCACTGATTATGGGGCTGGAGTGTAAAAATAAATTACAACAGGTTATGGGGACAAGATTATGAAAAATAGATTATTAGAGATGGAGAGAATGGGCTACTACTGGCTTTGATGGGGAAACAGGTTGAATGGGCTACTAATGAATGGGGTTGCGGAGTGGCTACTGCTGAAGTGTTGGCATTTAATAAAATTATAGAGCATGTGGATACAATAAATGTATGAATGTAGTTGTATTATATTCAGGAAGAGCTTGCGCTGTCCTTTCATACTTTAACATTTTTTTGTCAAATAAAGTCAGTTTCAAATTTATGAGAATTTACAAGAGTCTGGTTTCCTTTACTTTGACTGATATTTTGAACTATGCTTCTTCATTATATATAGGCTGATGCCAGGTAAATTATACTGTCTCTGTAGCCTGCAATTTACTAAACTATAGATTGTATTCATCTGCTAGCATACTGTGTCATGGGGCCAGTACCATTTACAGTTTTAACTCTAGTACAGATACTTGTTGAGCTCTATTTAGGTGTCATTTGCACCATTTTATTTCGAAGTTTTGGACATTCGTTATATTTACATATTTATACAGCATATTTTTCAAGTCTTATGTCTGTTTGCTTCTGTAGTAAAATTATCTAAACTGTGCTCATGCACATCTCCTCAATACATCAAAACCCTTATGTATACCGTTGCCAAGATTTTGCAAAGACACATGGCAAAATTAGTTAAGTATCCATTAAATTTCTTTAAAAAAACAAAACAAAATGAAATATGAAGATTGGTCTATGTCCTGACACCAACCATAAACCCAATACTATTACTTATTGTAACACTCACTGTAACCCTAGCCATAATGCTACAAAATAACCCAAACTCTAACTCTAAATACTAACACAGTTGTTTACTAAATTGAGGATTCAATGTAAATCTTACATTTAAGGCAAACTGAGAGCCTAGCTGACTTAGAGATTATTTTCCAGTTTGGCTATTTTGTCTTTCAATTTGAAATTCACTTTAAATACCCTAACAACCAACGCTAACTAACAACAGAACCTAAACCTTACTGCAACCCTAGCTTTAAACACTAACTGTAACCTAACCCTAAGCACTGAAAGGTTTATGACTAAAGTGAGAATTCAAAGTAATTGAAAGTGAATTTTCAATGTAAGTCCAAGTTAGCTGAACTGAAAGGGTGTTCCAAACACATTATTGGCTTCAATCGCCCTGGTGACAAGAGAGCTATAGAGGAAAAATGGGGAATAACCCACATTTCCACAGTTGCAGAGATCCACAGGAAGGTAAAGGATGCGGTAGAAATGGACAAACTTACTGCCCTTATGCATGAAATATCTAAACACTTTCACAAAGTATGGCATCACTGATTGCAGATTCGAGCCTGCGTTCTAGAGTGAACTGCACCATTTTACCATTTAACAATTCTGTTTCACCTTAATACTCCTCTATCTTTCTCTTACCTCTCTTCTCCTTCTTTCTTACAGACTAAATGACTTATTGTACATCCCATCCATCCAACCTCTTCCATTCATTTTTTTCCTTTTCTTATTATTGGTGTGATGGAGCTCCAGTACTCCGACCGAGTACCTCCGCCAAGTATGCATTCTTGTAGCTATCAGGGACCCTGGAACACTTTAGATCCAATCGCTGAGGCTTGACTGGGATCAGTGGTGTCTCTAGGATTCATTTTTAGGGGGGGCACATGGTGGGCCAGGACAAAACCCCGCCTTCATCGCAGTTTGACCCCGGCCCTGCCGCATGTTAAGCCCCCCCCCTGACACAATGTGTTTTTGTTTTGTTTTTTTATAATCCCTGGTGGAGAATTCATTATTTTATTTTACATTTCCCTTGATACAGTCCCTACACACACACACACACACACACACACACACAGACTGCTGAGTCCTTACACACACAGAGACTGCTGAACCAAGCACACAGAGACACACAGACTGCTGACCATACACACACACACAGACACACAGACTGCTGAGTCCATACAAACACAGACACACAGACTAAAATAAAACACAATCTGGGTGCTAAACAGTATTTAACCCCTTAAGGACACATGACATGTGTGACATGTCATGATTCCCTTTTATTCCAGAAGTTTGGTCCTTAAGGGGTTAAGGTGTAAAAAGTTGCTTCACACTCTGGTGCAATTCCCAAAACTATCAACGAGAAATGATGTGAAGTAATGAGTGGAGCAAAAAGAAACACCACTATAGAGACAATAAGGAAAATGGAATACAAACTTTGAGAATGTTTGATTCCTCCAAATGATGTGGTTATATATAAAGAAAAAGGGAAAATATACAGTGATAGTGCAGATGGTTAACAATAATAGAGAGAGCACTTCACATCTACTAAATAAGTCCCTTTATCAATATTAGCAATTATATTTCATCTTGATAAGATATCATCCTGAGGAAGCCGCAATACTGTGAAACGCGTTGACGTCACACAAGGGGGAGGAGCTTGTTATACATGGAACTCGGAGCTGACCTTTGGAGACTCAACTGGAGCACCAGATCTGCAAATTCAGCCGAGCCCGAAAAGTACATTGCAGCCTGCCTGCCACCCTACCATTACAAGCTGAAGTAGTGAGTTACAGCATAAGTCTGTTTAACTCACCACCACATTCAGTAAGGGGCTAACCACCCTCCTTATACATTGCTATTCTTTTTATAATTTTTTCTGTATTTATGTTATGATTTTCTGCATGTAGCAGACAATACATTTATGTAATTTTTTTTATTTTGAGTATTTAAGCATATCATTATCAAGATGAAATATAATTGCTAATATTGATAAAGGGGGGCACACCAAGCTCACTCGATACCTCCAAAAATGATCCAGAACTGCTGAATGCTGTTGGAGAAAGTCTCACTGTGCATCTGACTTTCTCCACTATAAATTTATGCTGAGCTCATACAGCTCGGCTCTTTCCTCTGCAAAAGTTAATTACTTCAATACCCTCATAACCACACTCTCCCGCGAACCCAAACGACTATTTCACACATTTAACTCTCTTCTTCGCCCTGCTGTTCCTCCTCCACCTACTAACTTGACCGCCTCAGACTTTGCAACTCACTTCACTGACAAGATCTCTACAATCAGAGAAGAGATCTCTCATCTTTCTTCTTCCCCTTACAATACTTCCCCTAACTTCACTCCCTCTGCTGTTCTATGTTCATTCGCACCCGCTACATTGGAAGAGGTTTCTGCTCTGCTCCAGTCCTCCCGCCCCACCACCTGCTCCCTAGATCCAATTCCCTCGCATCTCATCCGTACTCTGTCTTCTTCTCTTTCTCCACCTCTCACTAAAATTCTCAATCTCTCTCTCTCCTCTGGTATATTTCCATCGCCCTTCAAACATGCAACTGTAACCCCAATTCTAAAGAAGCCCAATCTTGACCCTAACTCCCCATCCAACTATCGTCCTATCTAGCTGCCCTTTGCATCCAAGATCCTTGAAAGAATTGTGTATGCGAGATTGATAGACTTCCTCAAATACAACTTTCTGCTAGACCTGCTTCTGTCTGGTTTCCACGCTAAGCACTCTGTGGAAACGGTACTGACCAAAGTATCCAATGATCAACTCACTGCAAAATCTCGTGGTCACTACTCTATCCTAATTCTCCTTGACCTGTCTGCGGCTTTTGACACTGTTGATCATCAACAGCTTCTTCTCACACTGCTGATCATCAACAGCTTCTTCTCATCCTCCGCAATATCGGTCTACAAGATATTGCTCTCTCCTGGTGCTCCTCCTACCTCTCCCAGCGCTCTTTCAGTGTTTCTTTCTCTGGCTCTGCTTCTTCTCCCCAGCTCCGCTCTGTTGGTGTCCCCCAAGGTTCAGTCCTTGGTCCCCTACTGTTCTCCATCTACACTGCCTCCCTTGGTAAACTCATTAGCTCCTTTGGCTTCCAATATCATTTCTATGCAGATGACATGCAAATCTGCCTGTCCTCTCCTGATCTCTCCCTGTCCCTATTGACTAGTGTCTCTGACTGCCCCTCTGCTATTTCTAACTGGATGGCTGCCCACTTCCTTAAACTAAATTTGACTAAAACTGAAATTCTGGTATTTCCTCCCTCAAGTGTTGTTATTCCTGTGTCTGTCAACGGTGCTACCATCAGCTCCACCACGCAGGCTCTCTGCCTAGGTGTTCTCTTTGACTCCGACCTCTCCTACAAGCCTCATGTTCAGTCTATCGTCAAATCCTGTTGTTTCCATCTCAAAAATATTGCGCGCATCCACCCCTACTTAACGCCAGATGCGACTAAGGTGTTGGTCCATTCCATTGTCCTTTCTCGCCTTGACTACTGTAATCCACTTCTCAGTGGTCTTACATGCTCCCAACTTGCGCCGTTACAGTCCATAATGAAAGTGGCAGCGAGGCTCATCTTCCTGTTCGCCCGCACCTCCCATGTCTCACCCTTCTGTCAGTCCCTACATTGGCTTCCTATAAAATATAGAGCTCAATTTAAAATTCTGGTTCTTGCGTTCAAGTCGCTACATAAAGCTGCTCCCACCTATCTATCCTACCTTATACACAAGTATGTCCCATCTAGGCCCTTACGATCTGCTGAAGACTTACGTCTATCTTCTGTCCGTACTCCCACCTCTGATGCTCTCCTTCAAGATTTCTCGAGGGCTGCACCATTCCTGTGGAACTCGCTTCCCTTCTCCGTTAGATGCTCACCCAGTCTCCACTCCTTAAAAAAATCATTAAAAACCCACTTCAAAAAAGCATATCAATGAAACTGTTAATAGCTCCTGACTGATTCCTCTTCTGCAACTGTCATTAGTCTAATACTATCCTTACCCTTTTGTGTCATTTTACCCCACTCCCTCTAGCACGTAAGCTCATTGAGCAGGGCCCTCAACCCCTCTGTTCCTGTGTGTCCAACTTGTCTGGTTACAACTACATGTCTGTTCGTCCACCCATTGTAAAGCGTTGTGGAATTTGATGGCGCTATATAAATAACATAATAATAATAG